CCCGTGACTGCAGTGTATGGCCATGGTTGAGACACACTGAGTCTGATTTCAGAGGTTTAACAATCTGATTTAATGCCAGGAGTAAGAACGTTTTGCATAAGTAAAAAAAAATCCTAATGGTTACACAAATCAAATTTCATAATTTCATTGTTGGACTTGGGATTTTACTTACTTAGCCATGTCCATGCATTAAACTGACGTGGAAGATATGTCTTCTGGCAGACACATGTCTACAGATACTCAGATGTGATCATTCAAGCTGGGTAATATGACACCCGAGCAGAAACTGGGAAAAGCTTCATGGAATGGGCATGATGCGCCGGCCATGCAAGATGCCCTGGATCTAATAGGATTACAGGCGGTCCAGGCACCAGTGGACCAGGAACACTGCCCAGTGCAGACGGTCCGGCTTGACTGGGAGTAGGCAACTTGAAAAAATGCAGCAGAAAGAGGTGCCCTGGGAAGAAAACTTGGGATTTAATGGTAGAAAGTCTTCACGCATCGTGCTGAGGAACCTGGACTTCATGCTGCAGGTGATGTGCTGTCCCTGAACACCTGGGAGCAAGAGGCACGCGATGGGCTGGGGGTGAAGCCAGGGTCTGGATCAGGCTGGAGGGGAGGGGCAGGAGCCACCACGGTGGCAGTGCAATGGTTAGAGAAGACGGGCCCGATTAGAAACACACTCTGACTTGAAATAAAACACACTGGAAATAAACACATGGCCACAAATTAAACTTGATCCATCCTACATTTTATTTTACCAGATTTGGAGAACACGTTTCTCAGAAAATGAACAAAAAGGTCTGCACACATGGGGCTTCCCATTTCGCTACAAATACATTCTTCCTGTTTTAAGAGTTAATTCAAATATGCTTCCTTCTCAGGTTTCTACAGAAAACTTGTTTCGCCATATATTTCAGTAACTGAGAAATTATTTGACAGCATATTTATACTTATGTATCAATCTCATATATATTACATTGAAAAAAAAAAGTAAATTTGAAGCAGAAACTATTATAAAAGTAAAAAAATTTGGTAAGTATAACAGTCTTTGGTTGAAAAATGCCCCTCGCAAGAGATTACAAAGGGAAGGAACGCTTTCCAGAGTAAAATAGTATTTACTCTGGTTCACTCTGATCTTCCAAACATGTCCTCCTCGGGGCAACATTTCTTTAGCCCAATTTGTGCTACTAAAAGTTTAAAAGCCCCAAACCTTTAAGAATAAATGAGGCCTGGCCGGACGTGGCTCAGAGGTTGAGCATTGACCTAGGATCCAGATCGGGGTTCGATTCCCGGTCAGGGCCCATGCCAGGGTTGAGGGCTAGGCAGCCGATCAGTGGCTCTCACCATTGATGTTTTTCTCTCTCTCCCCCTCCTTTCCCCTCTCTGAAATCAGTAACGTTAAAAAAAAAAAAAAAA